ATCCATGCGAGGATTTCTGACAAAACAAACGGAAATCAGTAAGGCCGCTAACAATCCCTTTATAATAACGTCTTAATCCAGTACAGGGTTACAGTAACCCATCAGACAGCTACAACAGAAACCAGAACACAAATAAGTATAAAGATATTTTATATTTTGAAACATCACAAATAATACATTCCAACAATGAATGTGTGAACGGATATCAGCAGGGCTTTGGCAAGAGTTGTTGCGGGCCGGATCATTCCCCGGTTGCCCATCCTTCAACCGCGCAGTGCAAAACCCCCTTTCACAAACACGCCCCATCCGCCACCCGTCCCGGGGACGTTTCTCTGTTTCTCTGTGGCACAAACGTCACTTGCGTCTGAGCTCGGTCCCTGATTTTAGGAAACCCTGCTCCAAGGCCGCGAGACAACCTCCACGCGAGGTGTCGGGGAGCGCAAGACAGACCCCCGTTCTTTTATTTTCGACTTGTACAGTGCAGCTCGGCCCCCCGTGGAGTCTTCTCAGGAACGGCCCTTGTCACTCGCCACACCGCGACACTCGCGGAAGTGCCGTTTTTCAAACCCCAACATGCTTGAAATGAAAGGAGGAATAAGATCTTTTCCACTGGCCACGGCCCCGCGGCCCCGCGTCCTCCCTGTCGTGATTAGTGCGTGTCTGGAAAGGACGCTTAACCTCTGCTCAGCGGGAAATGGACCAATCGGCTCCCGTCCTGTTCCAAACCCGCCTCTGTCCGAGCCGGGATCAATCACCGCACCCTGGACGGGCCCGGCTCTCGCCCAGACTGAGTTTCACGCTTTCCGAAGGCCTGCTTCTCGCCTGTTGGACACACGCAGGCCTGCGTCCATTTTTCCTCTGTATTACTCGCTTTGGTGCGCCGATGGAATTGGTCAGAATAACGGAATACAGTTGAAAGGCAGCATACTTTGTACACATTGTAATTTACAATATCACTGAGTAGGAGAACGACACATATGGACCAGTACGCACTACAAAAGAGTAGACTGAATTAAGATACAAATAAAAAAGATACGAGCTTCTCGCCATAACAGTATTTTGCTAATAACGAAAACAGGCTTATGAAACACTGCTGCTAATCTAAATCTCAAACGTTAGTACGGAACATTTTAAAGTGTTTATTGGTTAAATATTACAGGACAATAAAGCTGCTTGGCATCTAGTGGACACATTCAGAACTGCTGGAAATAAAAGCAGGCGCTATATTTTAACAAGGGTGAAAACATTTTGTCTTGCAATTTTTTTGCACTCCTATACGCTTTGGACTTCAAGCCGGCGCGACCTAACGGAGCGCCGGGAAACGGATCTGTGTTCAGGCAAAACAAAAGCCCTGATGCAAATATTTAAATAGATGTATCAGCGTATCATGGTTCGGATGCGCTGTCGACGGCTGCGTGTTGGAATTTGGAAGAGTTAGATATGCTGCTCTCGTACAGTACGTTAATTTTGAATGATTAATGCACATCCGAATTATCTTCAGAAGTGTCTCAGTATACCCACCCCCCTCCCCCCAACACCTTCAAACACAGGGAAAGTATCTGCTGCAGCGGGTGTCCCCGTCGCGGAGGCGGCCTACCTGCGTCTCCGAGAGGCTGAGCTGCCGGGCCAGCTCCGTGCGCTCGCGGCCCACCACGTACTGGCAGCGCTGGAACTCCAGCTCGAGCCGGTAGAGCTGCTCCGCCGTGAAGGAGGTCCTCGTGCGCTTGGGCCGGTCCAGGTCCAGGCCCCTGGGCAGCACGATCTCGCGGATGGTGCCCTTGGCGTCTGCGCGACACAAAGTCAGAGAGGGCGGCGAGTGCACCGTCACACCCCACGGACCACCACACGCCCTTGTGCCAACATCCAGAACACTGAGCCCCGGTCCTCGTGTCCGTTTGCGCAGGAGGCGGGCGTCACCGGGGAAGTCATTTCAAGAGTTATTCTCGAAATTAATTGGCATTCTAATTTAGTCTAATTCTAGTTGTTGTTGTTTCTGGAGGGGCGTGGTCGCCTAGGGGGTGATCAAATATGATCGTTAACATCATTATTCACAGTTTCTGTCCACGCCAACAGACATTCTGAAGCTCCTAACGCCGGAAGCATTATGACACACATGAACTGTATTTCACAAACTCGAGGACAGAGTCAGTCATTAAAGGTTTCCTTTAAACATTGTTGAAGTCCATTTGTTGGGGTGATGGACAATACGGGGTTTAACTAACTCGCATATAAATGCAGTCCCACTAAATCGAAAAACGTGAAGACATTTGTGTTCACGCAGGAACAAACGCTCGTTAAAACTCAACACGTTGGTGTCCGAGAATAGCCATAAAATGAAAATAAAAACAATACTTTAATCAGTTTTTGTTTAATACAATAGATAACAACAATATTGTTATCAGTATCAGTACCGTGTTTGTGCAATATATGCCAGGCACCTGTGCAATACATTTATATTTATATTTATATTGTGCAATATGACTTTTTGTGTACTGTTCTGTTCTGGTTTGTTCTTTGTGTGTTCTGGACTGTGAGTAACTCTTCTTAGTGCACTTCTCACTGTACTCATTGTATTGTGTGTATTGTATTGTTGTATTATTGTATCATTCGATACACTGTGTCTGTGTTGTGTGTGTTAAGCTGCTGTTGCACTGCAATTTCCCTCACAGGATCAATAGAGTATCTATCACATTGAAATAGTACTTTTAGCATTTTAAAATCGCCGTGTCTTATGTTTAGTGTTAGAATTAATAGGTCTATTCATTTGAAAAAAATATTAATTATTAAAATTTGCCTGTCTCAATTTCTGCATATAAATCCACAACCAGGAAAGCGAAAATTCAGGAGCTGTCTGAAATTTTCATCATCCAAAGATCCAAACCTCTCTGTGCAGTTCAACAGTTAAACCGTTTTAAAGGTTGAAACAGCAATGATATAAAAATCCAGATCTGACAGATAAGTAAACTGTTTAATAAAACTCAATTTTCTTAATAAAACGTAAAAATTGAAGTCACGTTATAATAACCTTTATAACAAAAAATGTTAGTATTTCTATTATTACCTTTTTTTAAGTCACGCAAACGAGCCTAGTAAATTGTATTATGCGTTACTGGGTAAAATGCCGACATTAATTTTTTTTCTTGTTTAATGTTAGAAAAAATATCGTTTTAGCGTTCTACCATTCGTCTTGGAAATGTAACATCTCGTTTTAGTTAATGGTAGAATCCGTAGGAAAAATAGTTTACGATCATTTTAAAAGTCCAACATCCAAAAAACGTTTTCATCGTCCCATGGGTAATAGCAAATTTAAGCTTCAAAATACACAAACGTAGATACATACGTTTTTCTCTCGTATGTTATCATGATTGTTTTTTCGTTGCTATGCTGCTATAACTTTCATTATCAATGTTAAAAACAACAAATGACAAAGGCGGGTTTCTCGTTTGTATTTGTATTTGACTTATTTAAGGTTATTGACGGTGTAAAGTAACTTGCGCTGCTGGTCTCAACATGTTCTTTTTATTATCTCATTCGCAACTAAAACTCAAAAATAAACCCCAATGGGCTCAATAATTCAATGCAAACATTCGCATTCAAAAGTGAGCAATGAATTGAGTAGCAAAATCACCACCTTCCGAGAAAAACAAGTTTCGTTAATGCAGTGCGAACAAATAAACGTTAGAAACGCTGTGATGTGAATGTTTAAAGTTTTTTTTTAACAAAAACGATAATACTCTGTTTGTTATATAATTATTATCAATAATAGTAATAATATCTTCGCTGGAACCAGACGTTTCGCCTGTAAAGCCAGCTAGAGATAACCCGCATCTTTTCATACTTTCAGCACCCTGATGGGTAATCTTTCTAACAAACAGTCAAAACAATTGATTACCCGTTTTATCCTTTACCTCGGATTTATCAGAACTGTTATTAGCACAGTGAAAAACGGGTAGGGAGACAGTAAAGACACTTGAATGCAAATAGGCGGGTCCCCTTCTTTTCCGAGGAAGACGAGGAAACGGGTTTTGTCTGTCGGGGCTGCGCTAGTGAGATTGTTCCAGGACACCTGCCCGCCTCAGAATGAGCCGTTCATGCAAACTGGACTTTGCGTAAAGGTGTGAAGGTGTCTTTGTGCGGACGCTTAACCGCGCGCCTGCGCCTCCCCCAAGACAGAGAGGGGCTGCGCCGTCACTCGCGCCCAGCCGCCAGGCCCGGCTCGCCCTGCGCGACCCCGCGGTTTCAAAGGACTGTCCCACATTTCACATCCGTGCGCCGCACGGGGCAGAAGCACCCAATCAGCGCACTCCTTAAAAGAAAGAGCCCACTGAACCCCTCCAGTACCGTCTCGATCACGCCACGGCGCGCAGGAGTTCATCACTGCCAAAAGAGGTCTGGGCTTCAGGCTCTTACCTGCGTAATTACATCCATCTGTTTCTTACATTATATCAAAGAAATAGATATATAGGACATTCACCTTAAAGGCTTATAAATAAAGATCTGTCCCAATATCTGAAACAGGCAGGTACTCAAGCGGGAAGCACACATGAATCGTTTTGATTGTGATGCCCTTTATCTATTGGCTTTAACATAAAATACGAATGTGTTTTTTCTTGTCGTCACACGGCAAAATGCGTTTTACAACGATGTTTTTTTCCCAGTAAAAAAAAACAAGGGATGCCAGAAAGTAAGACTGTTATTATTGCAGTTACAAAAATAATCACTAATATCATTACTCTGATAAATTCGTCCTCAACAGCATAGAACAATGTTGGTGATGATGGTGAAAGATTGCACGTCACTATTAATCAATTCCATGAATTCATTCCTCATTTAAACGGTTCAGTACTGTGGAAGTCTCCTTTCTGCGTTCCAGTTGTGTTCATATTCACTCTCAGACCGTGTGCGGCTCCGAAACAGCGGCCGAAAGGGGGCAGCACCCAGTCCCTCGGGCTACCAGCGCCGCTGACTTTCAATACCTTCACGCCGTGGACTGGACTACTGGAACATCGTAGATGTCTTAACTCCTGTTATTGGTCCACAGCACCTCACAATTCTATTTATCTGTGATTATACTTCGTGATTGCGATATATGTACACACCGATTTACAGTTTACAATGATCGCTGTTTATCAGCGCCGCGACCTCTCCGTGACCCCGGCCCACGCGAGGTGTCCTTCCACCGCTGACAGTGACGCTGAGCCGCGCGTCTCCCTCCCGAGTCGCGTCAGTCCCCTGTCCGTCTCCCACACGGTCCCCGCTGCGCACACGCCGGCCCGGACGAACGGAGTCGCATGCCAATTGAACAACACTGCTGCTTTTAACGTGCAGATGTCCCGTAATACACCCCGATAGCCGTCAAATTAACTATCACATGAAAAAATAATACGGGTGTGTTCATTCGTTTCAAATTTTATGTGCAGATCCACTTTCGCGTTTCCAGCGTTTAAACTACATCGACAGGCCCGCAGAGGAGTGGCGAGCGGTCTGACTCATGAACACGGACTGTACTGTCACTGTAGTGCTGAAGGCTGACGACACTGATCACGGGCAATCACTGGTTCGCCAAAACACAACCTGCCTACTGCTGGTCTCTCTCAGGAGTCAGCAGGGAGCGTGTGGCCTTGATGGAGCTCAGTCCAACGAGGAGCTGTAGTGTGGAGGCGAGAGCAGCAGACAGCTAGGTGTTCTGTATAATCTTGTATTGAATGCCTAAACATCTTGACGCGATACAGCTACAACACACCGCTTTTGACCTTTTCCAACCTGAGTCTGCGTTCATGACAAAAAGGGGTTTAAATGAAACGCAGCCATGGCCTGGCCTGTCTCGGCTCCACTCCGGGCTGTGCAGTCTGGCCTCCCTGAAGTGCCCGAATTCACTTCTCACTCTGCCCGGGCTGCTGCTGCAGGAGGGCTACTGCGCGTCTCCACGGCGGAAACTGCACTTCAAGTGGTTCCCTCTATTAAATATAAAGTGCTTCGGCCTATTTTCGAACGAGAAGAGTCATATAGATGCAAATAGCAGTATTAGTAGTCACTGCATAGAGCATTTATTTAAGAGCAAAATCCAAAAACGGCAACAGTGTTAAAAGAATAAGAAGAAAATGTAAATGTTTAAATTCCTAAATATGAATAGGCCCACCATTGTTATGTTTCTATTTTTATAATTTATAAATTACAAATTACTAAACGGTCTTAATCTGAAATAAACCAATCTTCTCTTATGATTGCTTTCAAATAACTATTCAATTTTCGTTTCCTAAGCAACCAAAGTTTCCCAGCGGAAAGCTTGTTGACAATGAAATTGCATTTGTCTAGTTTTCTTAGTGGTATTATCAAAATCATGAACAGTATGATTAGATTTTAGGGTTATTCGAAAATGTTATACCGTTTTAATCAGTATGCATTTAAAACAAATGTTACATTAATATTATTACATTATGAAAAGGAGAAAATCCATGAAAAGTAAAAATAATTTATGTTTTCAAAATTAGATGAGTGTAAATAAAACAAAATCATAAACTCTGCACGCTAAATATTATTTTAAAAAATTAGAGAATCAAATTAATTATTTAGGCTACTGTAAAAATACAGTAACCTAAATAATGTGTTGAGATTATAAAATAATTTTGAATACATATAGTTTCTCTCAAATGAGAGTTGTTTTATCCATTCGATTCAATAATGCAAGGAGATACATTCCATATGCCAGTGCCTCTAGTTTGAAAAACAGTATTTGTTAAAGGATTAAATGAGCGTTGCACATATTAAGAAAATATCAATATTCAACCATTTAAAATAAACATTTACTTTCTAAAGTCCTAATGTGTTTGGAGATGGGACATTTTTTTTTATTTTCGTAAAGAGTCTAGCGTACGGTGCAGTATAGACAGCAGCAACCATGGAGAAGATGGATATTTATCAGAAATATCCGCGTATTATGTATTCTATACGGACATTCGTTATTGAGGTCTGTTGAATTTTGCAGCCTATAAGCATTAAACAAATGGTATTAATAACGGCTTATTTATGCGACAGAATGCACAAATGAGCATCTAAAATTCCTCGGGGTAGCAGGTACCTCGTTCTCTTTTATGTACAGGTTTTAGAACAGTGAAAGTGATCTATAACACCTGTTTCGACGGGCTGTAAAGGTTAAAGAGTGCCCTCTTCTAGTCACTCTCAAACCAGGTTTGTTTGGATAAAACACCTCGAAAATTGAAAGACTCTCGCAGCGAAATTAATTTTACCCGACGATAACAATGAATATAGTTACATATTCCTACACGAATTGGACGTACAGACAATACTTAAGAGTGTTCTTGAGACGTACTTGGAGTGTGCTTAATAAACATACATTTTATATACAGTTGAAGAGAACGCATTGGGAAAATGTTTCGATGTGTAGGAAATCGAAATAATGAGGCAATAGTGTTCGAATTTTAGGCTACGTTTTCATAGGTCTCAGGAATTAATATCTCTGCTTGCCAAAATATTTTTTTCATCCTGATGAAAGATGATGGAAGATGACGCGTTTATATTTTTCTCCAATAATTGTTTCTATTTCTACTTTTCACAAGACTTAAAGAGTACTGTATGTTTAGACTTTTTAGCCAGGCAAACCCAGTTATGTCTGTGATTATTTTCTCATCATGCTCTTAAATAGGACAAAAGAAAACGGACAATAATAGGGATAGAAATAATCGACATTTGAACCTCACATCACAAACAGCTTTCTGGGGAGAACCTACTCCCGAAAATGCCTAATAGCTCTAATTGTTTGTCCACATCAACTATGATTCATGTACAAAAATATTTTTTAAACTCCTAAAAATGTCGAAATATATTTGTATAAACAGAGTCAGTACAACTGGGTGTGAACTTTAACCTATGATAATTTTCTCAAATAACTTGCTGTCTTAATATTCGCCAGCGTGCAAACGGGCACGTTGCTGTGTCATTTATTGTTCGTTGAATTTAAGCATGGGGCATTATCCCCAGAGAAATATTTTTGAGAATAACGCTCTGAACCATGAAAGCCATATTTGTTTGTTTGTTTGTTTGTTTGTTTGTTTTTTATTATAGTGATCACGTTGTGTTTTTATTTCTGTTTTTAACGCATTCTTTATATTCTGATTTTAATTTGCTTATGGAAAACAGTGATGGAAGAATATTTCAAAACACGCTAGGAGGAAAATGAGGTTTTACGATGCCCTTCTGGGGAAAAAAACATCATGGTCCGGTTCATTGCATTGTCTTCGACCTAAACGTGCACTGCATTTTTGCAGTATAATCTTTCGTTCATTTTTTAAATACAAGTGAAAATAGAAACCTTTTGAAAAAGTGAGGAAATAGTTATTTTCTCCACCAATGCTGTATTTCTGCAACGCGCTTACAGGTAAATGGAAATGCTGCTAACAATATACAAAGCCCCGGGATGTGTAGATGAGCATGTTCTGATGCACCGATTTCGATGCTGTGGCGCCGTGTCTCGCACTTACCCCGCACTAGAATCCTTCTGCAATAATCGGGGTCCACTCCTGAAAGTTTGTCGTGCCCGTCCTCGCTGGACGAGCTCGGTGTGGTGGAAGAGGAGGTCGCGGGAGTGTCCGCGGTCCCCTGTCCGGGGGACAGACTCTCCAGCTCGGTGCGGCACTTTCTGCCTGTCGCTACGTCGGGGCTGAGCGAGCTGGACCCACGGAGGTGGTTTCTGTCTTCTGCGAGCCCATCGCCCATATTCGTGGTCTGATCGAACATTGGAGTTGAACGTCAAAGTCTCTGTGTTTTTTTTTATCTTTCCTCTCTTTCAGAAACGAATCTTCCCCCCCTCCTTACCTCAAAGAAACCCCCCTCCCCCCCACCGCCAGTCAAAAAGAGCCCACGAAGCACGCAGATGGAGCCCCAGTGCCCTCCGAGTGCTTCAGCATGATCCGCGATCCAGCGCCTGAGAGGCGGCAGAGGGAAGCGGAGGTGGAGGAAGAGAGGGCCCCTTTCTGGAGCGGTCGGGCAGCCCCCCGCACTACAGCCAGGCGTCCCGTGGGTGCATGTTCTGGGCTACACGTGTGAGAGCAGCCGCGCGGCTTCGGGTCCGCCGGCGGGGCGCCCGGCTGGATCAGCCGAGTACGAGGACACGAGAAGACGGCGCGTCACCAGCAAGACCCCCCACTCTGCCCAGCGGATTCCGCCAAACTTTCACGAGCCAAGGACGTGGGGAGGAGGTCGCGCAGAACTGTGCCCACATCACACCCGCTCCTCCCGGTGGCCTGCCGACAGCAGGTGCGTGGTAGCTCGGGATTCTGAACTTGCACTTTCGCCCTTCCTTTGGGATTAAGCCACAGTATCTGACTTAACGCACAACACGTTAGCTCGAAAATAAACAAAAACTTAGACACTCACTACCTATAACAGGCCCCAGTGAGGAGCGTGCATGAAATCTCATACCTCCCCGTGCTAAATGTATGTTTTCAGCTAACCAAGGAAACCGGTAAAGAATCATACCAAGATTAATGACTCCAGATAACTAGTAACAGGGGGCATTTTTAAATTGACTGTCAGCAGACACGTAACTTCCTGTCAGGGCATGCTCGGCACTGATTGGCACTCAAAAAGGCAGCCTGAAACTCGGGACCAGATTCACTCTGTGAAGAAGATGAAGCGCAAAACGCCGGTGGATTCTCCGCTTTTAAAAGGCAGTTCGTTTTTCATTCTCCATTTCTGTTTGCAAAGGAGAGGAGGGGCCGGGGACTCCCCAGGCATGTGTCCGAGCTGGGGTGGCTGGAGCGGCGTGTGGCAGGGGCACTAGTGTCCCGTGCTGGGCAGAATGAGCCGATGGAGGTGAGTTAATGCGTGGTCTGGTCCGACTCTTCCTCCTTGATAACTCGCACCACTGCACGATAGAAGCGCACAGGCCTACGTTACTCCGCTGACACGTCTGTTCGCCGGCGAGCATTTTCGTTTTCATAAAACATACGAAAGGGGTTACGACTTGAAGGACTCTTCAGATAATGTTCGCATGTTTGAAATGAACCAGGCAATTATTCATTTTAGGAATGCAACAATATTGCCGACCAACAGGCCGTCGGACAGAGCCAAACGTACTCGGCAAAAGAAGAGCTTCACGTCGTTTGTTGTTGCTTTACTATAAAAAACACCAGCAATCAAGTGCATAAAGAGATAAACACGTGCAGAAGTTGCATAATTCAGAGACAGAATAAAGTGTGAGAGAAAAGGGAATTCTCCACATCCTCCTGTAGCTTCACACTCTAGTGCGCTGTAAAGGTGTGGGAATTCGCTGTTTCATGAACGGCCTCACCCAGCCTAACAGGCTACTGCGTAGCAAACGTACCTATTCGCTGTTTTTGTGATAATCGCTCGTGCAGGCTGGTCACGAGCCCTACTTGTTGCATGTGCGATCCAATCCCTCGCGTGGCGCGTCTATAAATACAAGAGCTTGCATCCGCGTGATCGAAACGTGCGCCTTTATACTTACAAAATCCTTCATACGAGCAGTTGTAGATCCAGACTATATTCTCCCTGTGATGCGTACTGGTTTTTGTTGTCACTTCTGCTGTCGTTTTGAACCGGGCACAGACTATTCCTGTGACTCAGAATATCTCTGAATTTATTTTTCAACTGTTAAAAGATTTTTAGAAGAAAGAAGGGAGAATTTCCTTTTGAGCGGCTCATTCGGCGTCCCAGACTGTGATGAAGCCCTTTGTCATATTGAAGAGGTGATGCGAAGTCTCAGTCTTAGCAGGGACTCTTGGTAGTGCATTAGCATAGAAAAAAATGGTTCTCAAAGTTAAGCTTTCAAAAGTTTATTTCTCTCTATATACATCAAATATATCGACTGATCCACCCATTCTCACAGGACCGCTAACATTGGTGAGAGTCCGCGACCTTAAATGCAAACATATATATATAGAGGTGATAAAAATCTATTTTTTAGAAACTATAAATATATTGAAGATAACACAGTAAAAATAAACGGTGAGTTTACATTTACTAATAGACGTGCTTCGGTGCTTCAGTGCTCATGTCTGAGCTCCTTTCGCACCGCCACAACTGAGCGCGACTCAGCTCCTCTCCCAGGAAATGGTAGTTCATTTTTAAATGGAAACAAATCTCAACTTGAAAATATATGTGATTCACGGCAGTCAAAGAAATGCCTATTGTGTCCTGTGTGAGAGCATTGCGCCATTTAAACTGTACCCTCACTCAGTTTTGACTGTTTAAATGAAACAGACAAAATGCAGCAGCAAAATAAATAGGAAAAATCTGGCACCTACAGCATAAAAACCAATAGCTAAAATAAAACTCGGTTTTTAAGGTCAGAATTCACGATTAAAGAGTCATGTGCGCTTTAATGTTTGTCTACCCACATATCATGAAACCTGTTGATGATTTGGATTTTGAGAAACATTTCGCTAGTTGTTATCCAATTCCGAATTCCTGTGAGAATTAAAAACTATGTCTTAATTCAGAATACTGGATATTGAATTTCCTGAGTTATTAAAGAAACGTTAGAAACCTGAGATCGAACGGGGCGTTTCCACCGGAATGAAATTTGTTGGGGGTTTTTGTTAACAGAAACCACTTTGTAAGCGTCTCTCTGCTTTCGCGTCGCCCCTGTGTGTCCTCAGGTCCTGATTTTCTGTTTCTGGACTGACAGACGTGCGGATTGCGACTGGAGCCACTGGAGCAGGTGAACTGCCGCTGTGTCCCGTGTGTCCCCCACAGGACAGTCCCCCACAGGAGAGACTCCCTGTGAACTCGGGCCCTTCCTGGCGTGTATTATCTGTACCTGACTTCCACAAAGACATATACCCGGCATATCTGTGGAGATGAAGGCATTATGCTATATTTGAATTTTGGACCGTGACTTACACATATATGACACACATAGGCATATATTTCATATACATATATATTATATTGTTAAATTTGAAGTACAGACTCTATAGTCCAGAAACGCTGAATCCATCAAGTGTCCTTCCTACGGAAGCGGTGCACACATGCTGTTCCAGTACCCTGGCGATTATTTATCTCAAGCTAAATTAGATCTTAACACGGAGGACGAAAGCGTAAGGAAAAGAGAATTCCAACCCCTCCACTTTCCCTCAAAACCGATGTGTAATTTTCGATATTCGCATCGTTTTGTGTTAAAAGCAGGCGGATGTAATAAAAGCACGGTGAGGTTTTTTTTTCTTTTTTTTTTTCCTTGAACGTTGACTTTCGGTGGAAGGCACGCGACGAGGTTTTCAAAAAGGCACAACATTGAAATTATGTCGCAGTTCCAAAAATATGTTTTGAATCTCCAGTTGTATAATGTCCAGAGGATTGAAGTATAACTTTGTATCCGAAAGTAAATTGAATAAAAATATTCGGTTACATAAATCGGGCTTTAAACATCATTTTATGATCTAGGAACAAGTAATAGGTTTATTCCATGCTGAAAAAAAGAAGAAAGAGAACACAACGTTTCGGCCGTGGAGCCTTCTTCAGGTGTAAGAACTAGATTTTATGATCTAGTTCTTATTTTCACTTCTTTTGAAAATCGCGACCTAAATGTTTTCTCTACATTGTAAGCGCGCGCCTATTGCAATGACTGGAAAAGTGCTAAAAACGTCTAAAGAAATATCTCTCGTGTGAGAAAGCATCAACATAGAGTGCCAGAAATGTTGTATGTTGTATGATTTATTTCAGTACAACAGCAGTGTATTAAACATATCATAATATATAAATATAAATATTATATAAATATTCTGCACAAAATAAACGTCTGTTGGACTGCAAATAAGCAAATCATGCAATAAATTCCCTCTTTGTCCTCTTTTTGAGGCACGTAACAACAATAATTGTCATTGCAAAATTAGGAAGTTTGGGTTTAGTTCTAGAAAAACTAACACAGTGGTACGATTAAACTCTTCTACAGAACCTCTAGAAAACTGTTGTGTTAAAGCAACATCGACGCGCGTCGCTCCACCACCTTAGTGGTTTGAGATAAAAGGTAAGAGACGCGCCAATGTTGACATAGCCATTTCCGCCGTTTTTCATCTGTGGATTCTAGACTAAAGATATCACCTACGTCCTTCTATGAAGCAAGTCCGGAAAACACTAGAGATTTGCGCTAAACCTGCAACTCTGCAGCTGAAGGGCAGCTTTTCATTCTGCGCCGCACGGCCGAGTGTTTAACAATTCAACTCTGGTCTTCCGCATCCGGTTACAACCCCTTTAATATTTAGATGTAGTTCTTAAATGTTTAATTCCTTAACCCCTGTGTTTTCTCTGGCTATGAAGAAGGGTGTGCTAGGTCACCGAAAACAAATGCTGGAAATGCGTTTTTATCGAACACTCCTTCTGCTTCTTTTTGAAGCGTTTTGGCGGTCCCCAGTACACAGGTAGGTGTCGTACCTAGAGTAGATGCGGGTCCTGAAATGGGACGTCGCAGGCACAGGGCGAGAGACTGCGCTTGTAAACCCCAGGGGAGTCCGAGAGAGAAGACGGTGTGCCGGGCCGCCCGCCCGCTGGGAGAAGCTATATACTCGGTCCAGTAAGACCAGTGCAGTACAGAGAATATGCCACCAACTTAGTAACCCAGTGCAAGATACAGAGACTTCCGTCGTGATAACGTAATAAATATTAGTTTAACGGGCGTAATAACATTACCGGGAGAGAGAAACAATACACATACTTCCGTGTAGTTAGTTCGCGCACTACGGTGCTCAGGACAGGGTTGAGAATCTCTGTTTCCCCACAGGGAGCGACGCTGCGTTCTCCAAAACAGAGCTCTGGTCTCCCTTTCACAGTTAC